TACAGGATGACGCAAATAATTACAGGACATGGCTGTTTTAATTCATTCCTTCATCGAATCGGTAAAGCCCTGAGTAGTGATTGTTCTTTTTGCGGAGAGGGTGAAGACTCTAACATTCACACTCTTGTCGATTGTCCGGCCTGGGCACCCGATAGGGAGGCCCTGGTCAGCGTTGTAGGCCCTGAATTGGACCTAAGATCACTGATATTTTCGATTCTGCAGACCCCGGCCAGGTGGGCCGCCTTTAGGGAGTTTTGCGAAGCGGTTATGTTCAGAAAGGAGGAGGCCGAAAGGGCTAGGCAAGCCCAGGTTCAGGCTGAAGACAACTTGTTGGCCGGATTAGCTAACCCAGGAGAGTCGGACGAGGAGTAGACTACTTGTTCTTGTCTACTGACTCATTTGAGTCATTCCTCTGTTCCTATAGCTGTGGTTTTCAATTTAGGGCAGTACTACTTAAGTATTGCGGTAGCCTGCTAGAGGTAAGAGCTTTAGCTCTTGCGATCCCCAGTGGGTGGCCCCGAAGTATTGCCTCGTAGCGGTTCCGGGGTCACCCGCACCGTGTGGTCGGGTCGTTGTGTTCTTCCGTGGTGAATTTTTAGTGGGTAGGCGTCTGGACCTCGTCATCTGGTCAGACGAATCCCACACTCCCCCGCATGCAGGCGCGGGGGGTCTAAGAAGATTTTTACACCACGTTAAAAAAAAAAAAAAAAAAGGTTAGGTTAGGTTAGGTTAGGTTAGGTTAGGTTAGGTTAGGTTGGGGGGTCTCTCGTGTGTAGCGTGACGTACGGACGTGTCTCTGGGCCGCTCCGTCGTTCCTGCATGCGACCGTGCGGAAATAATACGCGTAGCGTCTTAAAAGTGCGGCCAGTGTGTGCGGATTGCGATTCTGGATTGATTCTCAAAGTTTCGTAGGCGGGAATGTATTTCTCTTGAAGAAATAGTCGATTTTCGGTGCCGCGAGGCGTGGCTCGTTGCCCCGGCTCAAGATGGCCATCATCTTTGCCGTGCTCGAGCTGTGATTGTGAATGGGTATCTTTTCCTCGGGAATTCTTTCTGAGGCTCGGGCATACTGAGCGCATGGGCTCGTTGCCCTTCGAAAGTTTAATAACGTGACTGGGAATATTCCGGACTTGCTCCGAAATAACCGCGAAACTTATGTGCGGATTGAGCAGTGAGTTACATAAGTGACGTGTGCTCCGAAAAGCGCGGGAACCTGTCTGCAGCATATATGAACCTTCGGGATATATAGCTGACACGTGAATGCAGTGCGGATAGGCTTAATTTCGGGGTGAAACTGTTCCGTGGATCGGACTCAGCGAATAATTACTCTGTAGAGAACTTAATCAGGCAGAGAACGTGACCCGTGTTGAGATCGGTGCTCGTGCACACGTATTCTCGTGCGGGCTCATGCAAGTGGGCCCTTTGGGGAAGTGCATGATCTTAGCTGTGCATACTCTGTGGCGGTAGCGCCACGTGCGTGGAGAGTGACGTGGTCGGGGCGTGTACTTGTGCCGGACAGCGGTCAGTGCGATAATAGATGCACTAAGTGCACATGGTGTGCGGAGTGGCATTCCTGGCTGAGTTGCACGAAAGTGAACGCGTGGCGGCGCGCGCCGCGCTTGCATGTGCATGACTGCTATGGCCGCTATGGCGGCGATTTGTGCTTGCAGTGGCTTACAGTGACGCTTCGCATGCGACTCTCTGACTGTCACTGCTCGATTGCATGCGTAATCAAATAGGTGCAGTGCTGTGGACCGTTGGCGGCTGGTCAGCTGTCCCTCCGTCTTTAGGAGGGTCCTTGCTGCCCTTGCGGAGTGCCTGGCGGGCTCTTGGGACCCGCGGTCTCCCCTTGCTGGTGCAGCTAGTGTGGACGTCCTTGGGGTCCAGCGCTCTTTAACTCCTGCCCGCACGCGTTCTGCGCCCGCTGAATCGGTCGGGCATCGGTAATAAGGTAGGAGTTACAGGTACACCGTTGCCAGGGAGGTGAGAGCCCCGTGTGGCTTTGATAGAAAGATTGATGCTCTGATAGCATTATCCTAAATGACATGTAGAGTGATTTGTATAGAGATATCTTAAACAGAATTATACTCTGGTATATTAACTCTGACACTTATCTCTAAAGTGTACGCTATATACACGCGGGAGTGGAAGAGGCGCCTATGCGCTGGGCACACGAGTAGTAATGCGATTGAATTGGACGCGATTTCTTTTTGATTGTGGAAACTTTAATAACGGAGCATAGTGATAATTAAGAAACAGAACCTGGCAATGTGTGACTGATTCAATGATATAAACATTGACTTTGCGCGCGTCTGCACGGTGAATGCGGCTATTGCACCGGAGCCTGCATTCGTGCACAACGGACGGAACTGGAGGAGTCTGTCAGCTGAGGAGCGGAGGCGCCGGAGTGGAGCGATGCAGCACGTGTGCGAGCCTGCATAGATTGTGTTTGTCCACTGTGCCGTGCACTCTCGCGAAATATTTAGGGCGACCCTGTGCCGCTTTGGCGGACCTCGTCGCGGGAAACACACTTATGTGTGTAGTCGGATGTGTTCGCGAGGGTAACGATGCGAACCTCTTGCTAGTGCGGAGCATATTAATATAACGTTTAAATTGTTGATTTATTGACCTAAGACAATAATATATATATATAGAAACTTGTCAATTGATCGCTCGGCAGTGCTGAACTATTATAGCTCATCGAGTTATTATACCGAGGAGGAATACGCGATAAATTTGTCATCATGCCTGAGTGATAGATGCATGCATAAAAATATATCAAACGAATTGCGGAAACTGCTTTGCGCTTTACGCTCCTGCTTTCTGGCATATATCGCGCGTCCGATAGCTTGTGCGGGAGGGGCAGCGCCCCGAGATAGCCTCTCCGCCATATGAGTGCTTTCACAGGTGACAGGTGAGGTTATGATGCCCAGGATAGATGCTTGGATGCTGGCGGAGTGATGCGGCGGAAGACTGAAATTCGATGTTTCTCGTGTGCGACGTGCATGTGTGTGATGTGACTCTGTCACTCTCATTCGTATACAAATGTTGATAAAACCTGACAACAAGAATATCTAAACTTGGAGCGAACGTCCGGGTATCTGGGAATCGGTATCTCATGTGTATGAGGGAACCTGTGATATTTAATTGCTGGAAGCATGGTCGCGAGGAACATATATTGCTTTATCCTGTACCACTACGGTGGCTGGATGCATAGTGCTGCACATAAAGTAGAGTCAATAAGATTGAACTAGTCTTTGATACTGTGT